AGCTATTTCATCGAGATTATAAACTTGTTCATAATAATGTTCGAACCAAATTTGAATATTGATTTAACAGACTAAAGAATTGCTCAAATGGTCAGGCTTATTCTAATTCTCAATTGTTGTCTAATGGTTCTAGTGCTGTCAATTATAAAGATGATATGGTCGTTCTTGTTCATTAGCTGTGACTTTTTCGATGGTACTAGAGCATTAGTTCTTATATGTTTCTTGTACTGAATTTGCATGAAAGAAATCTAGTTTACCACTAACTCAATATTCAATCATACAGCTGGGCAGGAGAGATTCAGAACATTGACTAGTTCATACTACAGAGGTGCCCAAGGGATCATTATGGGTGTGTTCTAATTCCTCTTTTTATGTGATTCTTCCTAACTAAGTATATATCTTACATATGCGTAGTTTAAACATTGTACATGATTTACGAAATTGTAAGTTTGCTTGTTCTTCTGTCCAATATTTTGCAATTCTTGATTATGACATAGAAGGGCAACTGTGACAGTTTATGATGTAACGCGGAGAGAGACATTTACAAACCTGACTGAGGTATGGGCGAGGGAAATAGACCTATATTCAACAAATCCAGAGTGCATAAAGATGCTTGTTGGAAACAAAGTTGATAAGGTATGCGTCTTCAACTTCTATTTGAAATTTTCCATACGCTTGAGGCAGGTTACTGTAACAATTGTGTAGATGTCGATTAATTGACCAAATGGTGAATTGAAATTCACATGCCAAAGAAAATTTCTATGAGATCCCACGTCGGTTGGTGAGAGGAATGAAACATTTCTTGTAAGGGTGTAGAAACCTCTCCCTAGCATACGTGTTTTCAAACCTTGAGGGGAAGCTCAAAAGGGAAAGTCCAAAGAGGACAATATCTGCTAACGGTGGGCTTGAGCTGTTACAAATGGTATCAGAGCCAGACACCGGGCGTGTGCCAGCGAGGACATTGGGCTCTCAAGGGGGGTGGATTGTGAGATCTCACAGCGGTTGAAGAGGGGAACGAAGCATTCCTTGTAAGGGTGCGGAAACCTCTCCCTCGCAGACGCATTTTAAAATCTTGAGGGGAGGCTAGAAAGGGAAAGTCCAAAGAGAACAATATCTGCTAGCGGTGGGTTTGGGCCGTTACAATTTCAGGTTAACTATCGATAACATGTTGATAATTTAAGAATCGGTTGAGTTATGAATCGGCAAGGATTATCCATACGATTGGGTAACCAGGCTGTTATTTACTATTAGAAAGCTTAGAAGAGTGTCAAGACACTTAATCTAGCCTATTCGAGAGGGCTGGCTTATCCCATGAGCAAAACCTATCCTGAAGTACATATTCTCAAGCTCACTTCCCGCATACAAACTATACCAAACTCGTAATCTAACCGTCATAAGAGATACAATCTCCATTTTCCCTTCCTGTTATAGACATATAGTATTAGAGGCCTAACAAGCTTGGAATGCATGAACTCAAGATTTTAAATCCAGTTCCAAATAAATTTGAAGGTTGATTGGAACAATAATTTAGCTTTCGAACTGTGTTCTATTTTTTTAAAAGATGTATGATTTGCCATTAGATACTTCATCTTAGTTTTTATATCTTATTGGGAAAAAATTGAATTCAGTTGGTAAAATGAAGGCCAACATCTTTTTTTCCTTTACAAATCCATGTAATATCTTCTCTTATTCCAAACTTAAACGGCAATATTGAACATTCTGAATTTCGTTTTAGTTCCTAACTATAGAATTCAATTGATTTCTTAATTACTAAGGAGAAGAAAATTCTATGGCTTAACCTGGTTAGGGATTCAGACTCAGTTCTGACCTTATTTTTGTTAGCTTTTCTTGGTGTAGATTTTATCATATGGTTCATCCATTCTTGGTGCCAAATGGACAACCTTTCTGTAATTTCCATGGTGTTTTTTGGCTTTCATCCCCTCTTTTTTGTAATTTCATTCTATCAATGAAGTCATTTGTTTCTAGTTAAAAAAAAAAAAAAAAAAAAAAAAAAA